CTGCGTATTGCGCTTTCCAAGCCATAGGACAATTCTTCCACTCCCAATGCATGCAGTCAATGCTACCTATCATACCGGGAAAACCTCGCATTTCATTTTGATGCAAGATTCTCCTTAAATCTTCGTCGGTGGGACTTCTGAGATATTCAGCTTCAAAATGTGTAATAACCCCTTGACAAAAATGTTGCAAAGCCAATCTGGAGGTAGTTTTGCCAATGCGCAGATACTCATCCACCGCATCTGGACATGTACCGTACGCCAACATTCTAATCGCAGCGGTGCATTTCTACAACGGTGATAAACCAAGCCTTCCAGCTGCATTCCTACGCTGTTGGAAGAATTGATCCCCCTCGACCACCTTGTTCATAATCCTACAAAACAAAGGTCGTTGCATTTGAAATCTACGCCGAAATTGTTTGTCGCTATAAACTGGATTACTTGCAAAGTAATCATTAAATAATTGAACATGCCCCTTTTCCCTATCTCTTCTATTCGTATCCCCTCTACGCTCTGGAACACATTCAACATCGGATACGGGTTGGGTTTGTGTTTGGTTGTTATACAACAAAGTTGGTAGATGGGTTGTGACAAATTCGTCAACTAAATGATCAAATTCACCGTAATGATCAGAATCAGACGAGCTGGAGGTTGAGCTAATGGAAAACATTGTGTTTGCTGGTTACTTGGGTGTTTGGATATTTTTTGAGGAGTTGGATTATATTTGCGTAAGATGGTATCGCTATCATTTATAAGCATGAAAACTCAATGACAAGTCCAAAATATGAATGACAATTCCATGACTGATGAAACATGATTGACAATTCAATGAGTGATGAAACATGATTGACAAATTAATGACACTTAAGATAGTAAGACAGAAAAGAATCTTGACTATTCAAAATACAATTATACAACTGACATGAAAGACATATATAACTCAATGTCTAATAAGACAAGGGACATGAATACAACTCATAAAAATTAAACTAATTAAAGATTAACTAAGTAAAGAAAGCTAACCTAAAAATAGTACTAATTAAAATTGAACAAAATAAAGATATACTAATTAAAGATAAAATAATTAAACAAATCTAAACTCAGAATACAACTAATTAAAAATAAACTAATTAAAATTGAACAAAATAAAGATAAGATAATTAAAGATAAACTGATTAAACAAATCTAACCAAATAATACAACTATTAAAAATAAACTCATTAAGGAAATACAGTCAATTTCTACCGTAGACTAATTGAAGTAACTCGTCCTTGTGGGCCTCTTCAGCTGGAGTGAGTGGTGTTGTCCTTGCTAAAAGTGATTGAAGCATATCAAAATTCATCTTCTTCTCTGCTAATTCAACTTGTTTTTGCTTCCTCTTTTCCTTTTCTCGATCAAGTTCCAACCGTTGTTGTCGTAAATTCGCCTCCCTTTCTCTAACCTCAGTACACGCCTTTATCTCCTCACTAATGCTCAATATTGCACTTTCGAAAGCAACTGCTTTTCCCTTACGCTTAGCCTTCGTTTTTTTGACACCGTCTGGTCGTGATAATCCTCCGGAAATAAATCCATCAGTACGGATTTCATTCTCACTCTCCCCCCTACACCTTTTCCCACTTCCACTGCTATCTTCCTCATCATCGGCACCGCAACCCTTTCTTTCCTCATTTTGACAGACCCCATCTTAGTTTAGTCCTCCACTTCGGATCTTTATTAACCATTTCCACTCCATGTGGAAATGCAAAATTATGTTGTGGATTAGAGGAGATATAAAACAACTTGGAAGCGTGTTTAATTTGATCGGCTTCGTTGTAACCACTTCCGCTTTCAGGGAGATTGCCCGCCTCGTCATAGCAATTAGTCCACTGTAGCAAATCAGCTGCCATTCTTCTCCAATGTGTCTCCAAACTCTTCATAGGTCTTGGCGGGAGAATATGCGGTTTCTTAGCTTGTAGTTTACAGTAAGCTGCATGAACTTTTCGCCATAGTTCGGATGCCTTTTGGCTCGTACCACGAAGCGCATCATCACTTAGTTCTAGTTAGAACCCAATTAGAGCTTCATCCTCAGCAACCGACCAAATGCGACTCGCTTTGGCAAGTGGTTGATTGGCCGGAATCCTTGGAGGTGGTGAAGGGTATTGTGGTGTCTCCGGAACAGCTTCTTCTTGGCTGACATCGTACTCAGAGTTGCTCCCTTCGGTAACGGGAGGAGTTTGTTGCTAAAAAAAAGTGTTTTCATTGTTGGGAATTTGTGGAGGTGTTGGTTGATGAACGGAATTTTGAGAAGAAGGGTTGCCTAATCTTTCTAGGAATAATTGAAAATTTGGACTACTAATGAAATCATCACCTAAATCAGAAAAATGTTGAGCAAGTTGATTGTAATTAGGGTTGTTTGGATCCATTATATTGTATAATAAATTAAAAACAACAATGTATACTTAAGAGGCACACCTAAATTAAAATAAAATAACGTTAATAACGTTTTAAATAATTTCTGAGTGCTACAAAAAGTAATTAAATAATTTTTTTTTTGTTGAGAAAAAAAGTAGTTATACTAAAAAATAAAGAGTAATATTAGAAAATGAAAATTTAATCTAACTAAACTTGGGAGTAAAAATAATAAAGAGTTTTTTGAATTTTTTAAACTTTAAAAAAAAAATTGCTACTTAAAATATCAATAATAACGTTTTGAAAAATTATTAAAGTACTAAAAACAGTAATTAAAAATAATAAACCAAAAAAAAAAAATTAACTTTTCTCAACTTTATATTAGAAAATATAACATAAATCTCACTAGAAATGGGATTAAGTGTATTATTGAGTGTTTTTGTGATTTTTGAAATTATACCAAAATATGTCAAAATGGATCTCTATTTGTAGAGAAAAAAAAATATAATCGTTGATGAATTTTTTTTTTTTAATAAAGTTAAAACGGCCAAATTACCGTTTCAATTTAATTACCGTTGCTAAACGGTAACATTATTTGATTGGAGGAACAAGCTGACAGGGACGCGTGTCAGCTTCCTATTCGCTGGACTGACGCGCCCTGTCAGCAGCTATGTTTAATTTTTTTTTGCTTTGCTGTCTACAAAACGACGCGTTTTGGGGGGATAGTTCTTCATACCAAACCCCAAAACTCGTCGTTTTGAGGGTGTGAAAAGCAAAAAAAAAAGGACGGTTAGTGCTATGGCTGGGCCCCACGATTTCACTGTTCATTATCATTTTTGCTCATAGGATGAGCAAATTTAATTATGCTCATGAGCATATTTTGCTTTGCTCATTGGTGGGGAAGCAAATAAAGCAATTTTGCTCATCAATTTTGCTCATGAGCAAAATTCTCCTCACTGATGGGAATGCTCTTAATTACACAAATTTACACATGATTTTATCATAAATTCCCAACTTAATTTCATTTTAGAAATATAATTAATGTTTATATATACCCCTAACTCCCCAACTTAATTTCAAAGTGAAAACACTCAACATTTTGTTGGGGTTTGGAATGTAAAACATATATATATATATATATATATATATATATATATATATATATATATATATATATATATATATATATATATATATATATATATATATATATATACCCCTAACTCCCTAAGGCTACATATATTACTGAATATGCTTTTTTTTTTCTTTTCTTTGTTCTTCCAATTTCCTTGTTTAAGCTTGCCTTGTCATCAACACAATAGCAGGATATGCTTTGTTGCTGCATTTTACAAATTAGTGGCGATCTAACATGCATGTAGCCAATGTAGGCACTAGGAATCCATCCAATTTAGTTGCCACCTTGCCACTAATGCCAATTTCTGGATGTCCCAACATTTACAACATAGGTTTTAAACATTTTTTCTCACTATGTTTTCTTTAATGCTAGGCCACATCCCCTCCCCATTCAACTTTCTCTCTTCCTTTTCGATTTCCTATAGACCATGCACCAAAAGTGTGTGTGGCAACTATAAATCAGAACCAATAATTTGTTGCAGCTGATTATAGTTAGAAGGGATAACTTTTGAGGACTTGACAAACAAATGTGCCTCACCAACAGAAGGTGTGTACCTAGAAAAAATACATCACTTGACATGTAAAAATAAAAATAAAAATGGTGTTTTCTTATTTTGTCCAAGGTACAAGTACAACCACTAATTCAATTAGCGGTATGATTGATTAAATAACTTAAATGGGAGGATACAATTTGTAATTTGAAAAAGTATGGATACATGGTAGAAACACAATGACATTGTCGACATAGCTTAAAAAAACAATAAATTTTTGAGGTAGCTAGAAATGCTAGTAGCCAAAGTAGGCATAGCATTATGGAAAGGTAAAAAGCAGCCAAATATCTTTTACTCATATATTTTATTTATTTACTGTATTTATTCAAATATGTTTTTTTGTGATATGCTTAAAGAGAGGCAGCCATGTTGGAACAACGAGCAAAAGCAACGCAGCCAGTTTAGAAATTTAGGATGAATGACAAACTTTGTTGTGCTGCCCTATTAATATATTATCCTATTCTAAATTTAGTAATTGAAACACGAGCCTTGAGTATTAATATTCTAATTTCTAAACAAAAGACAAATACACGACGTATATAAATAAATAGGATAGTCAAATTCCACTAATTTTAATTGACATACAAATCATACACATAAAAATATAATTTCTTTCATGAGAGGATATCTAATTATTTTCTTTTTCAACCGATAGATAATCATGTTATACATACTTAGGAGTTACATTTAACACTAAATTATAGTGAAAAATAGCACCGTAATGACTTCAATAGTTTTGTTATAATGACAGTAGACAAATTTAAACATGTATTTCGTATATTTTTATTAAAGATACATATAGATGAATGAACAAGAAAGCGAAAATATTGTGATAAATATACTAAATTTTTTTTTTTTTGACAGATAAATAATAAGAGATAATATACAACTGGCATGATAATTAAGAGTTAATAAATTTTTTTGACAGGATTAAGAGTTAATAATAAGAGATATGTACAACTGGTATGATGATTTAGAATTGACTATATATATATATATATAATATATGTTCATATTTTGATGTTATATAATATATTCATTTTAGCTCAAACTTTTACAAAACCGAAGAGCACACAAACCTAGAATACCCCTAATCAACCATCCTAAAAATCTAATTAAAATAGTAATAAATTAGAAAACACACCCTTACTAAGGGTTAATAATAAAAAAAAATACTCTTAGAGTCTCAGATCGACTGCCAAATATCTTCTAAATTAATTGGCGCAAATCTACAATTTTCAGGGCATGGCATGATGGCACTTAATTACTTTCTATGTGCCACACTTGCTGGAAATTTCCAAAAAATTGTACATTAATCTTAAAAGATTATTCAAACTTTTAATAATAAAGAAAAAAAAATTCTACACTTCAAAAATCCTATATAAACATGAGGCACTAACCTTCAAAATACCAAACAACCTAGTACTTTCCAAATATATCCCATTTTTACCACTTCAATTAGAAAAAAAACATATACCATTTTAAGAGCTGATAAAAATGGCTAGTGCAAGTGCAACCTCTGCTTCTCAACCTATTGCTTACTTTCATCCAACCCATTGGGGTGACCAGTTCCTACAATTCACTCCTCTCGATAATGTTCGTTTTATTTATCCTTATTCTTCAATTCGTCGAGTCTTTCAATACTATATACGAAGTATAAGCTAATAATCTTGCATGAGACTATGGTCTTATTGCATTGTTCTCTACAACTTATTTTTGTTGAATTTAATTTTTAAAACAATAGTAGTTTTTGTTATTATTATTATTATTATTATTATTATTATTATTATTATTATTATAATAATAATTATTATTATTATTATTATTATTATTATTATTATGTTTTAAAAAACCTTCTTTTTCTTAAAAATAATTGTACTAGAGCATACAACCTTATATTATTCTTTTCAATTTTTTTCATAAAAGACTGAAATCCTATTTATTTCTTATGAAAATTCTATAGTGGTGAGTTATTATTAATTTTAAGTAAACAAACAATAACCTAGATGAGTAATAATCAAACTTTTTACATCTATCTATTAATTGTATAAAAATTGCAACAAACTATGAAATAACAAATTGGATGATATAGGTAACCCAACTTGAAAAGGAGCAAGAAGTTGAGCATCTGAAAGAGCAAGTAAGGAAAGAGCTACTTGCTAGAGTTGCAACTACTGTTGACAAGCCTTTGGAGCTGCTGGATTTCATCGAAGAAATCGAACGTCTCGGGTTGGCATACTTCTTAGAGAAGGAGATTGAGGAATCTTTAGTTCAAGTCTATGAAAACTACCATGACCAATGTGACATAGATGATTTGTACCATGTTGCCACCCGGTTTCGAATCCTAAGGCAACATGGTTATCGTGTGTCTAGTGGTACCTAACAAACAATCATCTTCCTTTTAATTTTTTTTTTTCTTTTCATTCTGCACGTCAGATAACATTTACAGACCTTATAATATTGTACATCCGAATGTATAATGGACATTATTTAATAAATACTGATGTTTTCAAACAGATGTTTTCAAGAAGTTTAAGAATGAGCAAGGAGGCTTCAAGGATTGCATACTCAACGATGTTCCGGGGCTCCTAAGCTTGTACGAGGCATCGTATGTTCGTATCCATGGAGATGACATCCTAGACGAAGCAATCGTTTTTACGACTACTCATCTTAAACTTATGGTAGATAAGTTAAGCTCTCCTTTGGCCGAACAAGTTGCTCATGCCCTAGACCAACCTCTTCACTATGGCTTTGTTCGACTAGAGTCAAAGCATTACATCGGATTTTACGAACAATATCCTTCTCACAACAAAACTTTGCTCAAATTAGCTAAGTTAGATTTCAACTTACTCCAATTGTTGCATAAACAAGAATTCCAAGATATTTCCAGGTATATAATGCACATCGTACAACCCTTACTTCCTCAGTCGATATTTTATGTGTACCATTAGGTTGTCAAGACTCAAGACCTCGTTAATACTTTTATTTAAATTATTTCCGGACCAAAGGAGTACCTATATATAGTTTTGTTCTAACATTAAATTAAATTTGATGCATGTTACATTAGTTGGTGGAACGATTTTTACCCAAAGGTGCCATTTGTAAGAGATCGATTGGTCGAGGCATACTTCTGGGTATTGGGATGTTACTATGAACGTGAATATTCATCTGCAAGAAAAACATTCATCAAAATATTCATGATTGTGCAAGTTTTTGACGACGTATTTGATGCATATGGTACCTATGACATTCTAAAACTCCTTGTTGAAGCAGTTAAAAGGTTTGTCGAATTTATTATTAATCAATTAAATTGAAATATGACTACCATAATATTTTAATGATTTTATAGTTTATAATTGTCATATTTTCTTTATATTATTGTACTAATACATACTATCAATTAAATTTCTTAGGTGGGACTATAGCTACATAGCAAAATTGCCAGAATATTTTGATTGTTGCTATCAAAAGCTTCTTGAAACCGTAGATGAAGTGGAGGACAAACTAGCTAAAGAAGGAAGATCACAAGGTGTCGAATGTTATAAAGAAAGGGTATGTTCGAATTAAAATTATCTTGCATTATCATTAAAATTAATGCATTTTTCAATGATTATCACTCTCCGTTTGTAATCAACAGTCACATATTATACTATAATATTATAATAATACGCCTTACAAATACATTTTTTTTTATTAAATTTGTTACAACGAACCCACCTTGAGTCTGTCTAATATCTATGCATGTGTTGCAGATGAACCGTGTTTGTGAGGCATGGCTTGAAGAGGCAAAATGGTGCGGCCAAAGGTACAGCCCAGGATTCGAAGAGTATGTAGGAGTGGCTAAGATCTCGATTGCCCAAATTCTAGGGTTTGTTTCATCAATGCTTGGCATGGGACCCGTTGCAACCAATGAAGGAATTGCATGGGTGTGCCAAGAACCTATGCCTACATTGGTAGATGCTTCACATGTGATCTTTAGGCTCAAAAATGACCTAGGCAGCACCGAGGTATGTAATAATTAATTTTTTTACCTGACTCGCCCCACTAACATCCCTGTCCATTTTTTTATTTATTTTGGTGTCATCGTTTATGCCAAAGCTAACACATTAAATTTGTTTGTGTTACAGTTTGAACAAAACAGCAGAACTCATGTTGTGTCGTGTATCCAATGCTACATGAAGGAACATGACGATGTAGATGAGGAACAAGTTTATCAAATCATAGAGAAGAAAGTGGATGATGCATGGAAGGACTTTAACCAAGCATTGCTTCGACCATATGTTATCCCAAAACCTTTGAATGATCGAATTCTCCACCTTACTCGCGCTGTAATGGTTTTCTACAAGGACAGAACAGATGGCTACACCATTGTCAATAAGATCATACAAGATAAAGTTGCATCAGTCCTTGTTCATCCTATCCCAATGACATAATCACAAGATTATTATTATGACTATATGTTTTATTTGTTTTTCTGAATAAAGATGTGTTTTACGCCTTGTAAGGTGGAAGGATTTTCCTGGTTTTAATCAGGAAATCCTTTCGTTTATTAGCTGTATGACGAATAAATTTCGCTTGCCTTTTGGCGTAAATAAATTACTTGATGAATTTATGTATTTCCTTTGTTCTTTAAATAATATAACTATATTCGGGTTTAGCACTATTATCAATTTTCCACTTTGCCTTTGACCCTTTATAGTTGTAATTTTAATTATAAGAAATACATTTTTACAGGAATTTAAATTTTTTGACTTTTTGCATTTTTTTTCTTTCAAAATGCAATAACAACACTAGATTGGTAGAAAATCGTATTTGCCCTCATGAAACCCAAAACCTTGTTCTACTAATGATACGAAGTATTTACCAGTACTAATAAGGAGTAGCATGTTCTTCTACAAAATAAGGCTCTTATACTTTTCTACGTCTCTTGGTTATTTCTACTAACTATGAATAAGGTTTTATTTTTTAACACATAACGAGTAGAGCTGTCAAAAGTTGACCCGACCCGAAATACCGACTTAAATCCGATTATTAACCGAACCATATGAACCCGAAAAAACAGTGACCATAACCCGACCTGAAACCAACCCTAGACCCGAGTTGACCCGAGTGTTTGGGTTCAATTTTGTCCAATTGGGCCTAGTCATTAAATGATCCAATTAAAAGCCCAAGGTCAAGGTTCAACTCTCCAATTGTGCTAAAGTCAAGATCAGTCCACAAGGCAAGTCAATTGGGCCAAGGCCCACATTCTCCATACATACAAAGGTATAAAAACCATCAATATTACATTTGTACATTCATTCAAACAAAGCCTCAAGCAATTAATTCTCTTGCATAGCTTTCTCTCTCTACACACTGTACTGACTTTAGCATCGGAGGGGCCTCCCTCGGCAACACCCCCGAGGCTAGTTTACGTGCGTTTGCTGTGCAGGAAACCTTCGGCCCAACATCACTTGGACCGAATCCAGTTTTCACCACTTCATCGGACCTTCGGCAAGGTCCCATTGTTTTCACCCGAAACAATTTGGCGCCGTCTGTGGGGAAGACTTTCAAAAATCTTTAAGCCAAATTTCTAATCAAAATCATCTTGCAATCATCTTAGTAGCAATGGCTAGAAACCGCAAGAGCAAAAGCCTCCGTCAAGGAGCAGGCGAAAAGCCTAAAACTCCTACACTATCACCCTCACGGGACCGGAACTCTCCCAAGGGTGCCAGCTCGGGGGGAGGATCATACAGGGAGGATTCTCTTTCTCCCGTAATTCACAACTCTCATCATAGGCCGAGTCCCTCTCGGTCTAGCAGAGGTCAGTTCGATCATAGGACTCATTCAGTGCCCCAAAGCCAACCATCGACCATGCGCTCTCATTCCCACACTCAGCCGAGGACCCCTTTGACGGGGCCCAGCTCGGAGGAGGTGGCGAGAGCGCTGGCAGTGCTCATGGAGGCAATGAGGGCACAAAATATGCCTCCACCTCGCGATCGAACTCCTCCGCATACCTGGCATCAGCGGAGGAAGCTAGACCATGATGGTGGGAAACCTCCTTCCTTCCGGGAACTGGAAAAGTAGGAAGAGGATACCTGGAGAACTGAAAGAGAGAGGAAAAAGAACCCTCAATTTTTCAGAGGATCCTCAACCTCCCGACCAGAAACGCATAAGAGCAGCAGCTCAGCTTCTCGGCCAGAATCTGCTCGCCGAGAACAACCTGAGACTGTTCGCCGAAGCGTCCTCGACCGACTCGGCGGCAAGGAACCGAGCGTGCACAGTCGCCTCTCGTTCCCTGCAGCCGAGGCCCAGACTTCCCAGCCAGGGACGAAAACCACTCCTACCTCTCTAAGAGGGCGGAGCGCGGTCCCTTCGGCCAGGAACAAGGGCAAGGCCGTTATACTACCCACCAGTTCCCCATTCGAGCAATGGATACTGGAAGAGCACGTGCCCACGGTTAAAATACCGTCGCACATCACATATGATGGGACTTCGGATCCGAAGGACCACATTGCCTCGTATGAGGCTCATATGCATCTTTGCCCCAGATCCGAAGCGACTTGGTGCAAATATTTTCCAACCACTCTCAAGGGGGACGCGCAAGCATGGATCTCCAAGGGAGTGAAGCAAGGCTCTATAACAGGGTGGGATGATCTATCCTCCAAATTTAGGAGCAAGTTTTCCACGGCAAACCGCCGAGAGAAGACTACTGCAGAACTCATGGGTCTGCAACAGGGGGAGACCGAAAGCCTCCGAGACTATCTGACCCGTTTCAGCAACGAGTCATCCAGCGTCTCTCAGCTGGACCAGGGGCTAGCCGTTTTTGCAATGCAGAATGGCCTTCAGCCTGGGAAGTTCCTAGACTTCATGGTCATGCATACCCCGCAGACCTTGGAGGAAGCTCTGAACGCCTCGGATAAATTCATCCGAGCCGAAGAGTGGAACAAAACAAAAACCCAACCTCAATCTGGGGGAGGGAAGCAAAAACAAACACCCTTGTCTGAAGGCCAAGGCCAGAGGACAAAGGGAAAGGCCAAGGCCTCGGAACAATCTTCGGCCAACGAGCCGAAGAAGGAAAAATCTGCCTCATACACAGGAAGATACGAGTCCTACACTCCGCTCTCTCTTCCACGCGCCAAAATTTACAGCGTGACGGAGGAGGAGCATAGTTACCGAAAGCCGAGACCACTCCCAGAGTGGTATCAGCGAAAAAATAAAAATCAGTGGTGCGAGTTCCACGAATCTCCGGGACATAACACTGAGGAATGTATCCAACTGAAGGACCAGATAGAGGACATGGTCCGGAAGGGATACTTGAAAAAATACATCGCGGATCACCGCGAGAAAAAGGAGGCCGAGAAGTCAGCAAAGGACCCTCGACAAGACCTCGACTTCCCCCGGAAGAACAGTAAAAATGCGGAGGGAAAATTCTCTCCGATCAATGTTATCTCGGGAGGAATATGCTCTCGGAGGGAACACAAGCGACACCTTAGGGCTCTAACCCACCAGGTGAACAACGCTGACATTCAGCCTCCCCAGTCGCCGGTGCCGAACATGACGTTCACAGCCGCCGACTGTCGGGGGTAACGTTCCCTCACGAGGATCCGCTGGTGATCATCGCCACGGTGGCCAACCACGACGTCAGCAAGGTCCTTGTTGACGGTGGCAGCGGAGCAAACATTCTGTTCCGAAAGGCCTATAATCAAATCAAGCTGAAGCCCAAGCACCTTACGCCGGTACCTTACCCGGTATCCAGATTCAACGGGGCTTCAACTTATCCAGATGGGAAGGTGACACTTCCTGTCACCATCGGCTGCGATGAGGCAGCCAGGAATGTCATTACTGAATTTTTGGTCATTGACGCTCCTTCAGTGTATAACGTGATTTTGGGGAGACCCATAATTCACGAGATCCAAGGGGTCGTCTCAACTTATCATCAGCTGATGATTTACGTCTCAGACGCCGGCTTCCCCGAAAGGATCCAGGGCAGCCAAAAGGATGCCCGAAGGTGCAACTACCTCAAGCCATCCACTAGTCGCCCAAATGACGACGACAAGGATGAGGAGGAGAAAGAAAAAGAAAGAGAGCCAAGCACAAAAAATCCGAAAGGCCTAAGTGCTTCGGCCCAAGGATCTGTGCCCAGAGAAAAAGGGCCAGAAAGGGAAAAAGGCTAGCTCTTCAGCTAAGCCGAAAGACTCAGAGAGCCAGCCGAAGAACAAAAAGACTGGGACACCTGCTGACATAGGCAGCAGGCCAGATTGTGAAGAGTCCAGTCCATCAGCAATGGACATGGACCAGCAGACTGAAACGGTCGAGTTGGCCGAAGGAGACGCTGAGAAATGTGTAACAATCGGGATGGACCTTGATCCGAACACCCGTTGTGAACTTATTCAACTCCTTCGGGACAACAGAGATGTGTTTTCTTTCTCGACAGCTGATATGCCCGGGATAAGTCCAGACCTCATCTCCCATAAGCTTAATGTTGACCCAACGTGTCGACCAATTAAGAAAAAGAAGCGGAATTACTCCGCTAATAGAACCGAGACATCGCAGCCGAGGTCAAAAAGTTGTTGGAGGCAGGCTTCATCGAGCCTTGTCAATATCCAGAATGGCTGGAAAATGTGGTGATGGTTTAGAAGGCCAATGGTACCTGGAGGATGTGCGTTGACTTCACGGACCTAAATAAGGCTTGTCCGAAGGATTTCTATCCCTTGCCGAGGATCGATCAGCTAGTCGATTCGATAAGTGGCCATGCCTTGCTTAGTTTCATGGACGCATTCTCGGGGTATCATCAGATCTTCATGCACCTCGACGATCGAGCAAAGACGGCATTCGTCACGAACGCCGGGGTGTACAATTATAAAATGATGCCCTTCGGATTGAAAAATGCGGGGGCAACCTATCAAAGGCTGGTGGATTAAGTTTTCGCCGATCAAAAGGGTCGAAACATGGAATTCTATGTTGACGATTCGATCGTCAAAAGCAAAAAATCTGAGGACCATGTTAAAGACCTGTCTGAAACCTTCGCCACCTTAAGAAAGCATCAAATGAAGCTGAATCCGAAGAAGTGTGTCTTCGGCGTGAAGTCAGGGAAATTCCTTGGGTTCATGGTCAACAAGGATTGATGCCAATCCCTCCAAAGTCAAAGCAGCGCTCGACCTTCCTGAGCCGAAAACAAAGCGGGATGTTCAGCGGCTCACCGGAAGAATGGCATCCCTCTCGAGGTTCATTTCCAGAGCTTCGGATAAGGGGTTACCTTTCTTCAAAGCCCTGAAACTCCCGAAAACAAAAGAGCTCGTTTGGGAGAAAGAGCAAAAAGAAGCCTTCAAGCAGCTTCGGGAGCATCTGGCTCAACTCCCAACGCTGGCTAGCCCAACAGAAGGAGAAACTTTGTATCTGTATGTGGCCGTTAGCCCAGCCACCATCAGTGCAGTGCTGCTGAAGGAAGAAAGCAAAATTCAGCAACCGATCTATTTTGTCAGTCACACTCTGACGGATGCTGAGACTCGCTACCCTCTACTCGAGAAAGTCACTTTTGCGGTAGTGGTAGCTGCTCGGAAGCTGAGGCCCTATTTTGATTGCCATCAGATAGTGGTCTTAACTGATCAGCCGCTGGAAAAAGTTCTCGGCAAAGTTGAATATTCTGGTAGGCTGGCCAAGTGGGC